GACCAGCCGCGCGCAACAAACGAAAACCTCTGGAAATGCCAACCGATTGAAGGCAATAACAACAATATTTTTTTCTCATACTTTGCTTCGTTTTAACAAAATGAAAATATAAAAGAAGAAGAAGAAAAAAAAAAATTACGATGAAAACGACAAACACGCGCTCCACGCAAATAGAATTCATTAAAGCGGCATAATATTCTGTCAGAACCTAGCACAGAGACGGGCCAACCATGGCATTTGAAGAATGTCACATCATGTATATGGCTTCTTCTTTCATATCGGAATAGATATCGAACAAAATTCATATTAATTTTGCCATGTATCAAAACATGCCCCATCTCTGTGAATTACATTTTTTTTTATATATTTAGAACTTCATACAATCGAATGTCGCAACTTTTACCCCCAAAGAAGAAAAAGACAACATGAAATAAATATGAAAAAAATAGTCAACAAACACACACACACGAAGCACGAAGCACGACAAGGAAATTGTGGAAGCACTTGGCATTTTATTTGAAAGAAGACGGAAGCTGTCTCTTCCATTTTTATCGTATCAAATTCAATATTGGAAAACTGCCATTTCCGGTCGTTATATTTGTCAAATTGAGTACAAATATTGTGTGCGCTCATAAGAATTGTCGCCATCGTCCAATGATGGTCCAATGTGCGAAATGGACAACTTATGGTTATTGATTGCATTGCTGGGGAATGTGTTGCGCGCCGCAGATATAATGGAATGTTGACGTAGTACGTGATTTGCCAAAATAGAAACACCCGAAAAAACTACTTTGTAGAAAAGAGCGGTTGTATTTGCGCATACAATATTATATTCGATTTTCATATGGTGTAATGTGTCTTTGGCTTGAGAGTGTGTTCAAAATAAAAACTATTCCTATTCAACAAAATAAAATCCCAATGATTTCTTTCCATTAACCCCCTCCCTCCTCAAAATAAAAGCATATATACATATCTATGTGTTTTTTATGCGGTGAGAAGCATAAAAGAAGCATGCCAGCTACTGCAAAATACTGCACAGCATAAAATAGCGGATTGATTTGAGTTACCTTGTGCTACATTGGTGATGTTTTACAGTGAATATTTTTACACAACAGCATTCTACACGACAGCGTATACTCGATGCACAAAACACGAAAATAAAACGAAGAAAAAATAAATTGAAAGAAGAAGAAGACACACAAAACGATGGCCGAGAGATAGAGAGAGCGAGCGATACTAAGAGAGTGGGACAGATAACGGGGTGAAGAGACTGACAGAAGTGTGTATGTGTGATATGTTTGTGTGCGAATACACGAACGCTGATATAATTGTCATGTGTAGTGCAATGTTAGAAATTATACAAGTGCATCATTGAAATTGATGAGCTGTTTACAATGTACTTAGCGAAAAAAATGCATTTTGAACGAGGGCGCCAATCAGTCAAAGCAAGCGTGAGCGCGCTAAATTTTTCAAGTTTTGGTTTATTCATTAACGTCCTCCTTCTGCTGTTTGCCACTCGATCGTTCATTTGGTTTGCTTGTTCGTTCGCACCCAAACTTCGGGTCTGTTATTTTCTTCTCCATTTTAACCCATTTTGTGTTCGGTTAGTGTGGTGGATTGGTTTTTTTTCTTTCTTCATTGTTTGTTTGTCCATTTTCATTAGACAAAGCCACTAAAAGAACTTTGTTTCGTCGCTGTTGCCGTCACTGCTTCTCTCACTTGGCTGGTTCATGGTTCACCGTATTTACCGTCCAATACATACATACATTGTATGTGCGATTAAATAAATATATAAAACTATAATTAGAAATGTGCTGCTGTTATCTATAAGTGAAACAACAAACACACACACACAGCAGGATTGCTTAGAAATGTTGTGCCGCACGGTTTTCTATTACGTCATTCGACCCATTCACATCAAGTGAGCGAGAGACGCGGAGAGAGAAAGAGTGAGAAAAAAAGGGCAAAATATAATTTATCCATTGTGTGAGAAAGCATTATTATCAATAATTACTATCGAATTAGTTGACTTCAGTTTTATTGTCTGTTCGCCCCCTTTCTGTCCGTATTCGTTTAATCGATTTTCTTTATTTTTGAACGCTTGACTTTGTAAGAGTCATACTCGATTGTTATTGTTTTCTTCGGATTTTTCCCAATCAAAGACATTACTATGAGCACAAGAAAACGAAAACGGGGGAGTTTTGCATTGATAAGCAAAAAAAAAATCGTGATTGATTCATGGGTTTGTGTATGCTGTTGTTTGTTCAGAATGGAATTGTTCACTTCATGAACTGAGTCAAGAGCTTTCCAGAGAAATTCAAACGCACAAGCTCACACAGTGTGATATCGAATGAGAAAGGGTGGGCGAGAGGGATAGAGTATATAATTCACGGCCATTGCGAATGGTTTTGTTCTCGGAAAATTTTATGAAATATGCAAATTAAATATACATTTGTGCAAAGCCAAACGAGCAAGTCGAGTGAGCGTGATCGCGGGCGGACGCGCAGAAAAAAGCGTATGTTTGTGACTGGTTCTTATCAACTACGTGCATTTGTTCTACCATTTACTTATTACTATGTGCAATGTGTTTCAGTTTCAAATGAGCGCTTGCAGCACCTCTCTCTGTCGCACTCTTCTCATTGTGCTGGTTCCATTTAAATGTCACTCACAAACTATAACACTTCGAAGCATACACAAAGGCGTGTGACACGTATCATATTTATTTTGTGAGCGCGCATTTCACCGGCACTCTTTTTTCTTCATATCTATGCAGTTTTTTTTTGCTGTTTTCATTTGAATTGTTCAATATTTTCGTTCGTTGGTTGCCATATTTTCTGAGGACAACAAGTTATTCATTACGATGGCAGTTATTCACTGTGTACCATTCTCAGTCTCTATCACTCGGTCACTTTTGTGATATATGTTCATATTCATATTGTGCTTATTCAGATAAAGTTCTCAGGTTTTGTTGTTTGCTTGTTTGTTTGTTTCTTTTTGCTGGATTTTTTGTGCATAGAATTGCTTGCATAGAATTGCGGCAATGGAATGTGTGTCGTGTGCGACATCGCGGTCAAGTTATATTGTCGTGTAAATATTCGATTACCAGTTAATTTGTTGTGTACCAGTGCATATTGTTTTGTTGCTTACATTTTTTCTCTCCCTTCTCTCTCTCCCTCTCTCTTCTTTTGTTAAAACTGGCTTTATCATTGTTTTTAAAACTACAGCTACTGCTGGACGTTGTTATTGACACTTACAATAATACCCTCCCCACCGAGCTACTGACCACCGTCGCTGATTCACATTGGAATGTTGTTTATTTGGAAATTTAACGCGACGCCGAAATTCGTGGAAGAGAAAAAATAGAAAAATAAAATAAACGCAGCAACGACTTTTATGACTAATGTGACAATGTTGCAATACTGGATTGAAAATGATTAAAGAAATTGCCAATAAACAACAACAAGAAGTATATATGGTAGATAATTGATGTGTGTGCTTACAGAATCGCAAAGTGATTCAATGTTTAATGTGTATATATATCGATAAAAGTACATCATGCGGAATGTTGTTTTGTTCTCTTCTTCTTCTTATTTCTGCTGTATGCCCGCGCGCAATTGCTTCTTCATTCTCTGAATATGTTTTTATCCGTGTCTTGTCTGTTTTTTTTGCGCTTTTTCTCTTATTCGGGTTTTCGCCAACAATCGATGAGTTATTGTTTGGCTAGACAAATCGCGCACTCACCAAAATACACATTTCCCCGCATTTGAATTATGAAGTAGCGCGTTATTCTCTTCGTTATTCTTTTTATTCTCTCGCCATCTCTCCCCGTCTCTCCCTTTCTCCTTCTCTCCTCTCTCTGCAAATTGCACACGTACACATTTTGTTGTTTTGAGGAATAAGAATGTTGTTTTGTCGTGTGTCGATGGAATGGCCGTGTGCTTTTGGCTGCACAATGCGCTTTATATGTATGTGCTTGTGCATATGAGAGAGTGTCTCGGTCGGTTGATCGGCCGTTACTAGTGGTGGCTGCCGTTGCCGCTGTTGATGTTTGTTTTATTACATTTGCGGTTTCCTGGTATCATGGATCTTGTTTTCGTTTCAGTTGTCGTGGTATGTGTCTTGGTCTCCAACCAATATATACATATAGAGTATATTCGCGCGCTTTGTCTATACAGTAATTTTTGTCTTCTTCTCTTCCCACCGTTGTTTTTGATTTTTCTCTGATTTCGCGATGTGTGCTATGTGTGTATGTTTTTTTTTTCTTTTCCGCTCTGGTCATCCATAAAACTTTTAAAATATTTTTTTTTTCACTCAATACGTTTTATGCACAATATGGCATGCTGTCTTCGTTGTCGATATATACATAACAACAACGCGTTAACAAAATATTTGAGATAGAAGAAGAGGAAGAAGTAAAAAATGCGCACAGCTAACCACAGAATATCTAAAGTCAGTCTCTGAGAACGAAAACAAGAATTTCTGTGATCCGTGAGAGCGAGAGGGAGAGAGAGGAGAGAGCTGAAAAGATTGAACACTCGTTCTCGCATATACATACTTCATACACACCATTCAGTCTCTCGTATAATATAGTATAGACAAAGCATACACAACACACAGTTCGGCGTAATGAATTGATGGAGCTGCGCATTTTCGAGGATGCGTCGAAAAATAAGTGATTCCGCGAGTTTTTCGAAATAAAAAAATCAGATCAGTTTGGTTAGTTAAACGAGATACGACTGGATTCTTGCATTGAAGTCAAGTCGTATTATTTTATTTTATTGCTCTTTTAACAAAAACTTTTGAATGGATACAAATTGCTGTGATTTAATGGTAGTGCATGAAAGCATTTTCAATTCGAAAACATCGAACATCTTTCGATTCCACGTTTATTTGAAATGCGCAATCGCAAATTCAAACCAAATTTTCCACAACAGAAAATAAACGAAATAATTTGTGATTGAAATAGTAATTAAAACAATTTTTTTCTGTTTTTTTCGCAGGTATACAATGAAACGGATACGGATGCGGTGAGGGAAAAGAATCAAATTGGAAAAAATACAACAGTCAACTTTAAATCGCATATACACAAACCGTTACGATGTGAACGAAGAAATTTTTTAATGTAAATTGAAAAGCGAAAAAAAGAGACAAAATGTGAACAAAAAAGTGCGAATTCGAAAAGAAAGTTGTTTCAGGTGGGAAAATCCAAATATGGAATGGCCCACACAAATAAATTCAATATAAATATAATGACAAAACTAAGAGAACAAGTGAATCCAATGAAAATTTGTGTATGAAGAAAACAGACCGAGATCGATTTCGATTTCAATTTTGATATCGATCAAATGTAAACGAAAAAAACAGAAACATACAAAAGAAAAAAACAGGAAACATACAAGTCTGACTGAAAAATATAGTTGTTTAAAAAAAAAATCAAAACGGAAATTAAAGAGTCAGGAAAAAGAAAACAAAAATGTCAGCTACATCAACGTCATTACCGTCATCGGCCGCAACAAATGCGGCCAATAATGAAAATGTGATGGAAACATCACAGAATAGCCTACGGAATCCAAAGTCATCATCGAAACAAACGGCATCAAGCGCCGATAAATTGGGCGTGTGCTTGCAGGGCTATTTAAAGAAACAAAAAACAATGAAGAAAAAATATTTCGTGCTTGTTAGTAATAACGGTGAAAAACCAGCCCGCTTAGAATACTATGACAGTGAGAAAAAGTTTCGTTCGCGTTTCGGTCATCCAAAACGAAGTATTGTGCTGAAAAGTTGTTTTCACATCAGCCAACGCTTGGACACAAAGCAAAAATTCGTAATCGCACTGTATACGAGAGAGGACAGCTTTTGCATTGTCATGGAAAATGAATCCGAAATGAACAAATGGTTGGATGCATTACAAATATTACGACAACATGAAGAAAGTGAAGTAGATTTGCCACGCACCACATTTGGTAAGTGTGTTATGAAATAAAATACGATACAATCACATATTGTTTTTAAATGTAAACAAACACACACACAAATTCAATTTTTTCAACGAAAAACAATGTCAAAATGCAAAAAAAAATCCATTTAATGGATGAAATTTTACAAATTGTTTGTGTGAATGCATTTCAAAATTCAAATGTACGGTCAACAATAAATGACGCCAGTGTTTTGGCGCGGACAGGTTTAATGAAGACGTTTCAACAAGAGTGCATTTATTGGAAAGAATTGAAAAATTATTGTTATTATATTATGAAATGGCTGGTTGAACATAACATAAATTTTGCTCTCGACTTAATCTCGCCCGTGTTGAAAATCAACCAATTCAAATTGAAACAAAACAACAACAACGAAAAGAAAAACTTATGTATAATAAAATTGCGAATGGCATACAGACGACACACGAGAGTCAATATTGTTGGCGGTCTCAGGACAAACAAAAATATTTGTATGAGCTAATGTGCGCGCGCCCGCGAACAAGCGATCGCTTTTTTTTATTTTATGGCATTATCATTTGTTGCACATATATTCAACACAAAACACAACACATTGTAACAGCGATATTTTATTTCGTTTTCAACGGTTTATAAATCAGTCCCAAATTAAAGGCGAATGGTTTATGAGGTTGTAAGTTTACATTGTTACAACCAGAACGAGAAATGAGAATGCGAGAGTGGCGGGAATGAGAATGAAATCAATATACACAAATCTAAATAACCGCCCGAAACGCATTCCTTCGCGTGGTTTTTGTTTTCGTGTAATGTTGTGGATCTGTTGCGACTGGCGAATATGTCGTGAAAAAAGGGAAAAAAAACTACACAACAATACAGTAACAATCCACTTAATTGATCCCCGGCCTTTCCCAGAAAAACGGCACATACTATATTATGTGCGCGCTCAATCGAACGAATGAACGAAAAAAAGAACCACAAGACGACGACGACGACAACAAACATAAACAGAGAAATCAACGAAGGCAGCAGCAATACAGAATTAAAAGGAATATATATGTCTGTATCGAATCGCAACCAATAGGCAATCCATTGGTGCGGCTAATTATTTTTACATTTCTGTGATTTTCCAAAGAGATATCAACAATGGCATTTCTCGATTTATTTATTTTTATTATTTATTTTTTTTTTGAATTGGCCGGGGACAAGTCTGTTCGTTATGTTGTATATTTCGCCTTTTGCGCGTGAGCGTATATAACTTCTCTTGTTCACTGTCTTCAGAGATAAAGTGCAATGGAAAAACGACCGATCGAGAAATTGAAAATAGTCTGTCTTTCTTGAATTTGATTTGTTGATTTTTTTTAGTTCTCTCTTACATTTTTTTCGGTTCCGCTTTGTTTGTTGCTATTGTCGTCCGTCGTCTTTGCTGTTTTGGTTCGCAATCGTCTATCATGCTCATTTTCTCATTGAACCGCTTAATTTAGTGCGTAGTTCATTTCAATTCGATCAGTGCAGGGTCGTCCAAAGAAGCACTGATGTAAAATTCTATAAAATAGACGACAATAACTGAAGTCCAAACAAATAATGAGAATTTGTTATGACTTCTCTGTTGAGTGTTTTACATTTATTTGGTTTTGTCATTTCCACACGCTATTCACAATTTGCGTTTCTGTTTCGTTTATTCTTCTGTTTTAATAATTTTGTCAAACATTGGTATAAAATCAGAAAATTCGTTGAACCGAGATTTCATTTTAAAAAAAAGCACACAAAACATTTTCTGGCTTTTAAATAAACAAAACCGAAATGATCCTGTAATTGGCAAATATACGGTGTTGTCCAAACAACTTTTCTCTTATAGTTTGATATGTCATTGCTGTCTGATATTTTAAGCAATGAAACGCAACATTGTTGCTTGTCGTTCGGTTCGAATCGAGTTGTTTTTCGTGTAAAATGCATAATCGAAATTGCGGCCGAGTTTTGTTTCGGCTCAAAATATGAAAAGAATTTGTCAATTTATTATCGAAAATTAGCGCAGCATAAACTTGTGCGAATGAACGTGTGTGCTGGTTCATCAAAATTGACAAGAATGCCCAATAAAATATATGTACTTCATAAAAGCACACCAAAAACGGCGCAAAAAATATGCACAATTTTTTTTATATTTTGTTATTGTTGGTTTATTGTTAACCACATCGTACTCTTTTGCTCTATGCGGTGAATGTATTTCTTTTGGTATGAAACGAAATCGTAACGTTTTTCGTCGATGTTGTTGTTGTTGTTTTTTTTTTTCGTTAGTTCATTCGGTTTGCCGTTTTTTCCCACATTTTATTTTCGTTTCGTCGCTTCGTTTTAACTTTGATAAAATATAAATCAGGTCTGTTACTGTTTATTTGGTTTTGTTCGGCATGTGTATATGTGTGTGTGTGTATGGTTGTGCTTTTCTGTTCGTTCAGTGTTTATTTTATTTGCTGTTGCTGCGCTTTTTGTTCCACGTTTTTATAATTTAGCTACAAGTGGTTTTTTTTCTTCTTTAACTGTTTTCATTTCAATATACTCGGTGTGTGTGCTATGCGAATGTGTGTGAGTTGTTGTTGCTTCTTATTATATATAATTTTTTACTTTTCGTTCGCATTGTGTGCTCTTGAAAACAAGCGAACCAGTAAAGCAGTTAAACGCGAAAATGCAACATTTTAAGATTTATGATGCTATTATAGCAACATTGTAGCGCAAAATAATCAAACATTAAGTAAATTCAAACAGTAGATGAAGCTGAAAGAAACTCGAACGAAGAGAAAATACAGAGAGCGAAAAGGAGAGGATGGTAGGAAGAAATTCTTTCAGTCAAACAAAATGAAGAATGTGCTAGCATTTTCAAATTGGATTGAGCAAATGAGCGGGGGAAAAACGAGCGAATGAATTGCAGAGAGAAAATGAGAGAGACACACAGTGAGAGAAGGAGAACGAATGAGTGAATGATGGAGTGATAGAGATACTGAATATGTATTAAGCATGCTCGATCGTAAAATCGCATAAATACTTGTTTTATTGGTCTAGAGATGAAAAGTAATATGGCAAAGGTACACATGCAAAGAAGAAGAAGAAAAAACAACCTGAAGAATGAGACACAAAAAGAGAGCAAATATAAATAAAAGTTACACATTTTTATTCATCGCCTTCGACGTTGTCCGTTTCCTTGTTATCTTCAATATCTATGTGTTCGAAAGAGTTCATAGTATATATTGTGCATTCTTCGTACAAGCTATTTTGGATGCCACATCGAGAGGATTCTGTTGTGATAAACACACCATCGATTGCGCTGCGTGAAAAAATGCGCGATAAAATTAGACGAAGAGAAATAACATTGATGCTTCATTTCTATAATATCGATAATTTGCCATGTTTTATTTTATGTAATGGACTTTTGCAAATAAAGAGCAAAAAAAAAAGTCGTGTGTATTACATGAATCGGACTTTCCGTGATTGGTTGTGCTGTGCACCATATATGTCATATCGTGACATTTGTATGTACTCTTAATTTAATTACTCCGGCGAACCGATACACCAGCGGCACAATTTTGCTCACAAGAAGCGAATAAAAATGGTCTCCACACGCATGGTGACGTGTGCGTCACATGAAAGCAATGAATTGTTGTAAAAGATAAGCATTACACACACGCATTTTAAAAAGCTTCACGCTTATACGCATAAACTATTTTCTAACATGCGATCGTTATGAGTGCGATTATCTGTCACATGGGCCTCATTTTTTTACCCATATTTGTGTGCTCTCTCTCTCTCTCTCTATGTGTCTGTTTTTTATCACAATAAAACACACATCGATACACATATGGCAAGTAAATGTGTTTCAGTTTATTTCTCACATTCGATATTATCCCGGTGCCCGATGACGTAAACATTGTGATGACGTGATTGTGATATACTCAAACGCGAAAAACGTTTATTTATTACATCAGTTTGCAACAACTGCCTATATTTTTATTTAAATAACAATTCTATAAATATAAAAGCAATCACGAGACATTTTAAATACAAAACTATCGCTTTTTTTCGGTTTGTATTAATAATGTGAGTCAGACAATAATAATTTATCCACGTTTGTGAGTTTGGGCGGCGAAAAGAATGCGATTTAAGATTTTAAGATTTTTTGCGATTTAAAGATCAGCGGCATTTGCGAGCCACAAAAAAAATGAAACTAGGAGAAAACAAATCGCACGGCACATCGTGCTAATATTCAACTTTTGATGATGGCAGCGATGATTTTGATCATGATTATTGTTATTATTTCGATGATGCGAATTTCATTCTCTGATTATATTTGTCTTTCATTTCTATTTTCAGAGCATGTGTGGGAGGTGCAAGTACATCGCAGAGGTTTGGCAGTTGAGAAAAATATCGTTGGCACGTATCATCTTTGTTTAACCGATAAAGCATTGCGACTGTCACAGACCGGCTCAAAGACCACACAAAATGGGGAACAACGAATGCCATACGTTGAGTTTCTATTGACAACGATCAGACGGTAACAACATCAATTTTTTTTTATGTCTGATTCTATTTTCTTTGCTTTCTCTTTTTTATGGGCCTACATCGAAATGCTCTTGTTTTTATCACATTTTTTTTTTAAATATTATACGCGTGCGATTATTTTATCGTGATTCCTTTTGTCTATTTATACAAGTGAGGGGAAAAAATTTCCGTCTTCTGGCATTTTTTTTTCTCGTTTCGTCGAAAGCATTTTTTGGCTGGTGTCATTTTTCCTTATACAATATATTACACATATATTTGATATTTTGTTCTTTTTTTCCTCTTCACCATTGGTGACCACTGCAGATGTGGCGATTCTCAGCGATTTTTCTACATGGAAGTGGGACGCCACAGTGCAATTGGCGCCGGAGAGCTTTATATGGAAACGGAAGATCCTCTGATTGCACAAAATATGCATACAACGATTATCAAGTAAGTGTTTGGCCTCTTTTTTTTTCATTCCATTGAATATGATTAATTTGTATCTGACAAAAAAAAATTCTTTGCACAGTGCAATGTCAACAAATCGAAATCGTGAAGAATTCGGTGGACCAATGAGAAATCGTTCATCGTCAGCGAACGAGGCTTCCAAGCCAATTCTTGTGCTACAACGACGACAGACGCATGTGGGCAGCAAAACATTGAACTTTTCACCATCAAACGGTGGCAATTCCGTTGCTGGTAAGTGGATTTTTAAAATTTATTTTCAAAACAATAACATCGACCTTTATCAAAGGGGCCATTGCCACTACAAATCAATTCATATAATGCAATCTAGTACAAAAAAACAAATCAAAACAATTCAATGGTAGTGTATGTTTGTTAAATCAAATTCATTCGAGAAAAAAAAATTCTACGAAAAAAATGCAAAAACATCAGTTTTATTATAACAGTTATGATTGGTCGTTTGAAAATGAATAAGAAAAAATAATTCTTCGAAAAATATTATCACTTGTTGTTTTTATTGAATTGGTTCCAGCAAAATTATTATCAAATGGAATAAAACGTAAACAACAAAAATTCCGACAATCTAGAATAAATGGTACATTATTTTTCATCGAAAATACTGAAATAATTCTCAGAAATGATGATAAGACAAAAAAAGTAATTTTCAGACTCTATCATATCAATAGCAACTGATTTGAATACTTTCGAGGAATTTGACTTCGTTTTAAATTCAGAATCACATTCGAACATTTGCATTACATAATAATTGAGATTTCATTGATTTGCATTTCTGCTACTATTTTCATTTACTTTGAATTTTGTGGCATTGTTTTTGTACTATTGCATTACATTGAATTGCGTTGTAGCGGTAGTTTCTCTCTTGAATTTTTTTTTCCGCGAGTAGTACGCGTTCATAAAGAAGCGACACAATTCAATTTAATTTTTTTAAACAAAAAAAACACAAACACACTTTTTTCAAGCATATTCAATTTTGTTTTAATATTGTTTGGTTTTTTCTATTTTCAAAAAATAGATTTTTGTTTCTCTGTAAATTCAAACTTACACGAACATTTTCATAGGTACACAAAAGTCGTTGGGAAATTTTTGTTTGGCTCTCCCCCCCTTTCTGGCTGTAATAAAATCCAATCACTTTTCTCTCTACAAAGTCACTCCAGTTTTCCCAAATTAATAATAAATTGATTTGATTCTACTCTCACATTATTTCACTTAAGAAATAACACCCATTAGAGAAAACGAGAAGAAAATGTTCACATTATGATGAAAATATATTGAAAGATAAGACCATGTGTTTTGAGTTTTTCCAAAAGTTTTGTTGAAAACTTCAATTTATTATAAGTTCAGAGCCAAACTTGAATTCTTATCGATTCAAAACACACTCATACACATACATACACAGACATGCACAGCATGAAAACAAAAACAAAAAATAATAATACAAAACTTGAATTTGACCAGGAGACGAGAAATCTCATAAAAAGTAGAACATTGTTGCAACAATGTGAATCGTCTCTGCAAAATTGGTTCGAAGTGGCCGCGTATTTTTCAATAAATAAGTTTTCTGTTATTCTTTTCCCACCCGATTTTTTTTTTTCATCCAAAATTCTCTTGTTTTTTTTTTTTCTGTGTGAATTACTAAGAAAGTAATATAATGGGTTCCCTTTCTGCTCTTCTTGCACCACTTCTCACTTTTCAACCACAAATCGTTACTTTTCCTCTATTCTTTAATTCAAAGTTAACGCATTTATGGAATATGGATTTTTTTACTCTGTTTTTGTAATTTCATGTAGTTTTATTGTTGTTTTATTATTATTATTATCATTTTTTGTGGTAAATTTTATTTAATTATAGTAGCAATGGGAAATATTTTTTTTTTTATATTAATTTTAATGTTTTTTGCATTTTGAAACTAATACGGTTTTTTTGCACATTATATAGCTGTGATTTATAGTTTAATAGAATTTTTCCGAAGATATATATTCAATGAACTAAAGTCCCCGGTTGTGTATATCCATTGCGAAATTATTAATAATCTTCTGTTGGATTTGTGTATTTTTTTGTAAATTTATCTTTTTTTCATATCGCTGTCAGTAAATTTGCTGAGTTTTTTTTATAGTGCAAGAGCAATAATAACTCTTAAATTGTTGCAACATTCCATTTAAACCAAATGCTCTCATACACAGACACATAAATAAACAAAACAACCACTTTCTGTCATAAAATGACTCATATATATTTCGATGACTATTTCATGTAGTAGTGTCTCGCCTGCGCTGACTTAATATCACAAGACATAAATTGTTGGTGGCATTTTAAATAAAATTAACCACAACAATAAAAAAAATTGATCCCGCACAGCTTTTTAGCTGAATTGATGGTGTCACGTGTTCCATAAATCAGCCCGAAAAAAATGGGCCAATCAATTTAGATGAATTGTTATAGTTTTGAAGAGCCATTATTAATTATTGAATGGGAAAATAGAAATTGTCGAATTTAATTCTCGCCAAAAGTGTATTAGGGAATTCAAAGTGAAAAAGCATTACAGGGATGTATTTTTTTGTGTATATTAAATTGAAAAATAAAGAAAAAAAGGCAAAATCGTTATAAGTTTTGGTCCGAACCCGTTCTCAAATCAAAAAAAAACTTCTTGCAATCCAATATCGCACAGAGCACGATGATGACGCGACATATTTAATAACACCGAATCATGATTGTCAGAACCCAAGTCACGCGCATCACATCAGTCACCATCGCCATCATGGTGTATCGTCGTGCTATCGCTATCATGTTGCCGATACAGTTGTTGAAGAATCAACGGATGATTCAATTGTAACGGTCATCAGTAGTACACCGTCGATACGTGCAAATGAATCGCCAACAATACCAACAACACCAACACCAAACATTATTCTAACCAATTCGGAAACGGTGGAGAATGAGACGTACATTGAAGAAACATCATTACATGCAGCACGATCATTATCGATTAATAAATTAACAAATAAACCGGATGAGGCCGGTGTCGATCCAATGAAATTGTCACCATCGTCAGCGTCGTTGCCATCGCCATCGTTACTGACATCGCCAACAATTGCTCAGGCAACCGATTCAATTTCGAATTACAAGGAAACGGGTACGGATTCAATTCAAACAAAATCAATATTGTTTCAATTACGAATAATTGCAAACACGAATAAAATCACATCTTGGATCTTCTTGGGTTCATTCAATGGGGCATTCAATTATTAATTTAACCTAGTCTTTCCATTTAATATCGTTTGCCTGACAACTTAATGATATGTATACATGTCTTCTATGCTACACATATAGTAAAAACTCCCCAAAAAATGACTAAAAAACAAACCCTTTCATGATCCGTGCGTGATATATATTGATGGATGCAAACGTATGTTTTCAATTTGTCGACAATTCAAAAACGCTTTCGTTCGCATGGTATGGTGTCTTTCATTGATTATTTTTGTAATTAAATAGAATTATTGCTATCTTCAATTTGCAAGATAAGTACTTTCAAATCCAGAAGGAATGTTAACGGTCACTATAATCAAGTAACACCTGAATCGTAACGGAATCAAATAAAAACAAAAAACAAAAGAAAAACTATACGATGAAAGAGTTTTTGAAAACGAAACATATTGAACGGAAAGAAAGAAACAAAAAAACGCCTTTTTAATCATATCTAATATATGCTAAATACAACTAAAATTATTGCCTCTATTTAATACAAACATATTATTATATCAAATATCGCTCTGTATAACTGTATACTGTCCGCTCGAATCAATGTATGACAAATCGCCAACATTTCTTTTGCGTTCTTATTTATCATTTCTTTTCAAACGATTCGTTCGATAATAATGCATATACACATAAATGATGTTATTCAATGTGTATATTACGTATCTAATTTTAATGGTCAATGTTGTAACTTTTAGTGTTGTTGAGTAAAGTCGGGTTGTGATTTGTTGTTTGTCAAAGTTTTTCGGTTGTGGTCGTCTGTTTGGAAGAACAAATGGGCGAAAATTGACACAGTAATAATAACATAATGGACGTGATGGTGAGAAAATGTGTACAATAATTATGTATACGTTTGGTCACAATGCCGCTCAACGGCACCAAAAGTCACGCTATAGATATCTACCTCCTCTCTTGTAGAGGCGCTTCTCTTATGGCTGTATCTTTATTTCACTGTTCAAGCTACTCTCCCTGACAAAATGATGAATACATTTTTTTGGCGAATAAAAAAGTCTTAAAGTAAAGTTATGCTTGGAATGCAACGAATGATAAAGTGAACATGAAAAAAGTTTGAATATTCTGAAAAGTCAAAAAATCATCTAAAAAGACTACTAGAATCCGACGAAAGGAAAAAAAAAGTTTTTCTGAAAATTCCAACCATTTTACTTTTTGCTGCCTTGAGATTTGAAATCATCTTCGTTTCTTTTTTGCTTGACGTCACTCGTCTTTCTGAATATAAATACTTATTTCCTTAGACATTTTCATGGGGGAATAGCTTGTACAGGGTTGTCATGTGTAGCTTTCTGTCGTTATGCCCTTCTTCCGCGCGCTCTCTTTCATTCTATATCTATGCCAGTGTCATTGCAAGAAGAAAGAAGAGAGTATAATGCTTAAATTTGCTTTGATGCGCAACTTGCTAGCGAGCGAAAAAGAAAACTCGAACAGAAGTTGTTCAAGTGCATTTAAAAGTAAATCGACTCAATGTACTCATTATATACTCAAAAACTCATTCACCATATGAACTCTGTCATTCAATTTTTTTTATTGCGAATAAAATATCACTTTTGCTTGCTCTTTTCATTTGAAACATGCTCACACATACAAATACATACACACCTATTTCATGCGATGTCTTTGTTATTTCGTTGAAACTTTTTTTTACATTTATTTCTGTTTTCAATTCGATTTGTTTCGCTTTAATCCATCATCCCTTCAATTTCATTTTATTTTTCACATAAAAACACACTTGATTCAGACAATATTTGACAAGATTTTTTTTATTTCTTTTTTTTTCAATTGCCATCTTCCCTTTCCACAAGATGGAAAGGGTGTCGCTATTTGCAAAAAAAATAAAATACAAATAATATTTCTAGAATTTATATATCAATTTATATGACCAAAAGCAAAATGTTTATGTCATGTTGTTGTACTTTCAGCACAAAATAATAACAATAACAATATCAATAATAATAATTCACAAACTGGCATTGCCACGTCAGTGCGATCGGGCGCTGTAGTGACAACAACGATCACAACAATCGTTTCACAAAATCCATGTCAAACTGTCATCACTTCAACGTCATACAGTACAAATTCACTAAAGGCAACAGCAACAACAACGGCATCAGCCATCAATTCGCCAGTGGCGATTGCTGCTGTGGCCGCCGTTGCTGCCGGAAAGGCTGGAACATCTTCGTTCACCAATTTAACCACCACATGTAATCCACAATATCTTCGTTCAGTGCAGTCATCATCTTCCTATCATCGACGTCATTCGGTTTCAGGTACTGTTCATACACGCATACACACACACACACAAGCCGCATACCATTCGCTTTCGACATGGACGTTCTTCTTTCTTTTGTCATTTTTCGTCTAAACAAACATTACACAATATCGAATTCTATGCATGGATTCCATAACTCGAGCTATCATCAGTGCATTTTTTTTTTATATTATTATCATTATTGGCCTATTTTGCGGTGAAAATATCCGTTATAATGTAGACACAACCACCTGCCGATATAATATCAATAACGTAGCTTTACAAATTCACATCGAGATTGTTCTCGGTATTTTTTTTCTGTGTTTATTTGCTTCATTTGAATTTTCAATTTGCTCTTGCCATTGTTTCTGTCACATTTTCATTTGTGCCATGCAAATTGATTGTGGTTTAGAACTTGCATTTGAACATTTCCGTATATTCTGCAACAAACGAAAAAAATAGACTATTTTTATCAGCAACTTTATTTCCATTTCTATTTTAATTTAATCATAACTGATATTGTACGATTCATTTTTGTATTTCTCCTCATCGAACCGCCTATTCAATACGTTTTTTGTTGACCCATTCATAACATTCTATTGTTGTGAATATTCTTTTGTTTTTTTTTGTTGTTGTTGTTATTGTGGTTGTTGTTCGTAGTCAATTCCATTCTCTAGTAACAAATTGAATTGCATGTTGATAACAAAAATATTTTAAGAGAAATAAGAAAAATACTCATTGCCCATAGTCATTCATTTAGATATTCATTGCATTTTTCTAGTTTAATATTTAAAAAAAATTCTACAATAATAAATCGCAACCTCATATTAACAGAATGTGTTTCAGGAAATATGCTAACAATAAGTAAAAGTCAGTTTGTCAAATAACATCTATAAGTGACTAATCATCATTGATATCTTATTAGTATAAACCCCTTTTGTCCGTATTTCTCGTTAGTTATTTTTATTTTTGTTTTTCTTTTCTTTGACTTTTGTTTTCCAATTCGATTGGAAATGTTTGCAAATTGTTTTTTATTTAATTCATTTCAAATTTATTTTTTCAAAGTATATACGAATTGATTTTTTTTGTTTACATTTTTCGTTCATTATTTTGTTTTTGTTTGGTTTCTGTTGATTTTGTTATACGTATTTTTTTTCTCTCTCTTTCTTTGTTTTTACAGTAGTAGCTGCAAATAGTTTTTCAGTTCTTGCGTCAAATGAATTAACTGTATCACATCAAAGAGCATTTTCATTACCAATAACAACAACTGCTTTATTGACCACCACCACATCATCATCATTATCATCGCCAAGTGAATTAAATCCCGATCATCATTCTCATTGCAAAACAAAATCGCTAACCACAACAAATCCAACGCAAATGATGTCCGGTACTGGCATCACAACTTCAATGCAACAGCTCACAAAATCAAATCATCTAAGTTCCTTTCATCAGCGAACACGTTCGCTGCCACACACCGAAGAAGAATCACCGGTGGTTGTGGTTGATACAATATTTCCCTCATCGGCCGCATCGACATCGTCATTACATTCATCGGTCGAATGTAATGCGCCCAACCATCCATCGATGATTCGATCTGGTTTGGCATTCTATTCGAAAAATAGCATTTCATCGTTGTCATCGGTGCATTCGTCATCGAATTCATCCATAACGGCTGTTGCCGCAAATGAACTGAATGGTTCATCAATACTACGAAAATTGTGCGAAACGATGTGCACAACACGAAATGCGGACGGAAGTCGTAAACATTTGCCAACATGCTGTTTTTATCAAATTGATAAACAAGCGGCCAGCAATAAAAATCGCACTCATAAACCAATAAAAACAAATGATCAAAATTGCAATCGTTCAAACATTAACAACAATAATAACAGTAATAATCAAAATCAAATTAATTCGGAGTGTGGCGATTCCGCCTACCTACTGATGACATCATCATCATCATCGGCAAATCGAAAGGGTATGCACCATCATGATTCTATGGACTGTTATGAGCAACAATATAAACGCGACCATTCTATAACCACTATTACACAAATTCCATCCACATTCAATACTAATTATACGGAAATTTGCCCAAACACATTCGAACTCATTGTACCATCGATCATAATTAGTGCACCAAATTCATCTAGCATTGATCATATTAATCAAAACATACTTTCATTAACTGTTTTCCCATCATCCACCTCATCCGTAACAGCAATAACATCAACAACATCATCATCATCAGCAACAACAACAACAGTTTCGGCATTACGTTGCAAAGGCTGTAACTCGCACAGGAGTATGTAGTATTATCGCAAATGCAATTCAAAACTTCTTCGTACACATAATGAATAGTATAATTCTCAACTCTTTCTATTTCCTTTCTCTTTATCTGTGTTCGGAGATCTCTCTCTCTCACTCTCACTAACTTCATCTCCAATGCGATATTCATTAGTTTCTCGTATTACCTCAACTAGTTTTACCGTCTTCTTCCGCTTTGTTAACAACAACGATTTAATTCGCAACTGAGTCGAGCGGGAACGGAAGAGTGTTCAGAACGTGATCTGAAACCACAAAATATCGTTGTTTTGCGAAACGGAAACCGAACATTGTACTTTGCTTATTTTATGCTGTCGACTAACAAGCTCTCCTTTTACGTAATTTTTCTCATTATTAATTTTTTTCTTTATTTCGTTCTTGAATGCCGTTCTTCTCGACTCTATTCCTTCTCTCCCTCTCTATCTCTTTCGCTCTCATCTTCTCTCTTTCCGACTTCTTTTCAACCGAGAGGAAGAAAGCAAGAAGATGACAGCGAAAACTAAAAACGAAGAAAAAAACTTTTAATATTCATATTGTCTAACATGAGCTGCAAATCTACCACATTTATTCCAAGCGTATGGATCATTTGTTGTCTAACAATACATAATTATATAAATAACTTATAACTTTTCGTTTCATTGAGTTTCCGAATTTTCGAAAGCGAAACCATTTCAAATTCTGACTTGTGTTCTATCTGTCTGTGCTAAAAAAAGAGCATAAGCAGTAACCAAAACTAATCTTGTAGTGTACGTTTGAAAAATTAATTATCAATGAATTTGCGTTCAGTTCGGTGAATCTGCCGATTCGAACGGTTGAATGAAGTTGAAAAAAAAAAATGAACGAAGCGCCGTCATATATATATCTAACACATTCTATTCACGTTGTGAATTCCAATTTTAATGCCTTGACTTTTGGGCATCTTCAATTTTTATGATTATTAGCTAGCATGCTTTGGGCTTCCATTCGTTAAGACTCATAAAAAATTGATAGTTATTTCTTGTATTATTGCTGCTATCATTGTATAATATAACTGCTTACTTTATTGCATGATTTATTAGTAGTTTTTGTCGAAGGAATAAAAAAAAGAAGAGCGAACTGCCTGTAAAATAGTCAATGTTGAATTGGGTTTTATCTGTTTGCATGCCTTTTGTTGTTGGATCACTAATATTTGCATATAAGTACTTTCAATTTAAACAAAACGATCGAAATATTTGACTCATCTATAATTTGTTGTGCATGTATATTGGGAATGTCAAGGCAATATTTAATGGTTGCGTATGTAGTATATAATTTTAGTTTTTTTTTCTTCATCTTAACTTTTAAATAAATTATAAGCGAACATTAAAATTAAGAGTTTTGTGATGGATAATTGAAAATTTTTGTTTATTCATACAATAAATTTTTGTTCCCTCAATCATGCGTGTTTAGGTTTAAATTTACGCGATCGATGCGGTAGTTTGCCAACCCATAATCGAACAACCAGCGATGGAACGGCTCAATTGATTCAAAATCAATCGATGCCACCACCACGTACCATACCATTAGCGATAACTGGACGTCCGCATTCAATGTATACAAATAGCTATCGTCATAGTCCACCAGTGAATTCGAATAATGGCAGTAACCATCAACCGGTGCCGTTGAGTCCAAGGTAAAAAAATAAAAGATTCGTCGTGTACAAACGTGTCAAAAATTAGAATACAAAAAAAAAACAATGCGTGATTAATTGAAAGCGAAATATATAGCGATGCATCAAACACCATCTAGATTACATGTTATGCAACGATAATCACTGAAGAAACAATCCATTGACAGAACAATTCTAATCGATTATACACATCGCTGCTAAACGAAACTCATTAAAGATTAAATCGAAACAAAGTCGTAATTATTGGTAGAATATATCTGATGGATATACTTTTCGCCACGTACAATTAGAAGCACACAAGCTTGATTATTATTAAAATGGACGATATCCCCATTATTATAAAAAACACATCGTTAAATGTAATTACAAAATAGGCAATTTTAATAACATTATTGATTTTCCGATTTATTCCGCGCAAAAGTTTTCAACTTAGCATACAATTATTACAGAGTTTAAAAAAAAAAACCTAAAACTCACACACACAACGGTTTTCTTCAATTCCCCCATTTTCCATTGATACGTTGTGTGATTGCTGTGTGTGAAGTCAAAAGGTAAACCGCACCGTTGTGAATTTCAATTAAAAACCGATTCTTTTTTTACAAAAGTATTGCGTGCGCGTTGTGTTCTTTTTTATCAATTGAATGTGAAAAGAAAACAAAATTGAAAAATCAATGGATAATGTTTCTAATTACTGCTGTTACATGGTTGAAAAACGTTCACTTAACGAAGCAAAAAATGTGAGAAGATCTAATGTTTTATTCACCGATTCATTTGATATGCAATTAAGACAAACATTGGCAGTATAATTATTATTGATAAATGCTTTGCCATGAATTATGTAAATTTTTCGATGGTTTGCACTTCTGTTTTGTGTTAGTTTAAAAGACCTCCGTTTAACATCGAAAATGTGCTCCTTTCAATGAAAACTTTTCATACAAAATTCAATGGCAAAGAATACCACAAATGCCATTTTTTGTTTGTTTAAGAATTCATACAGCACCATTTTATCCTTAATAATTAAATAATTCGTTTCTTTATTTTTATATAGCTTGAAAACGTTCTCAAAGAGTTGTTCGGAAAGTGATGGATCGTCGTTAAGTATTGATGAGCCAGATGGTTGTTTTACACCAGACGAAAGTAATGGATTCCCAGTTAAAACATACAAGTAAGTGGTTAATGAGAAAAATAACATCTATTTCACCCAATTGCTTCGTCATCAGTTTAAAATGTTTTTATAAATTAATTAATGCTTTTTGTTTCAATAACTATTTCGATTTCAGTCCATGCCCATCTGGATCTGTGATACCTGAAGAGAATGTTGATGAGTTTGTAATACCATCCGAACAAAATATACCAAATATAAATGGCCTTCGTATGGGTTCAAGCAGTGGATCACTGTCATTGCCAATTCAATCTCAACAACAGCAACAACAATATCGAACAGAGAGTCCGCAGTCTTCATACAGTCCATACGGAAATTCACCGGTTATTGATCAACCAAATCACACGGGCTATATGATGATGTCACCCGGAACAGATTACAATAAAGGGTATGTAAACGTGTATTGCTTGATTTCTGATGGATTTTTAATCGTTTTCTTTGTGCATTTCAGAATGTTTACGGGAACAAATTCGTGTGCACACAGTCAAACATCAAGTTTGGCCGAAGATTGTGTTGATTCGTATGTACCAGTTCAAAGTGGTGTTCGGCCAATGGGCGAAGAGTACATCGATATGGAACAAAATCATCGTCATGCAAACAATACAAGCAGCATGAGTTCGGCTGCATCGAGCTGTAGCATTACATCGGGCACACCATCAACTGATCTGCGTTTTGCCGAATATCAACTCGACAAAGTCGTATCACATTTTACACCCGACGATGATGATCCAAGGTAAGTGCCATCAAATTCCATTTTAAATTCAATAAGAAAACAATGACGTACAAAATTTAATAAATTTTCATTGGTTACAGCATGTTTCTTGAGCGGCCAATTCGTGCATATTCGGTGGGAAGCCGTTTGGAGCACAATAAACGCAAGATGCGTGTTGATATGCTATCCGCTGAGCATAGCAACAATACAACGTCACGAGTACGAGCATTTTCTGTGGGATCTCGTGCCAAAGTGGCACGATCTGATCTCTACCGAGGCTTAATTAACTCAACGAATTTACTGAAAGCAAATAGTCAAGATATTGCAAATTTGAATACAACGATAAACAACAATAAAACGTCTATCAATTCAATGCAAAAAAATCAAAATGCATTGAACAATAATATTACATTGACATCGTCGACCAGTGGTGATAGTTCGAGTGATGTGAATAAAAAATCAAACAGCTCCCTATACTTGACAAACGGGCCACGATCAACGGTAAATATACATAAATATTGAATATTCATTAATTTTATCTAAATCAAAAACTGTCAATTTTTTTCAAATTTCATTGAATAGGAGAGTTGTCATAGTCTCAACAATGCCAAAAGCAACTCAATCGATCCGATGGATGATTTGATGGAAATCGATTTTACGAAAAAAGATGATGATTCATTGTCGACCGATTCAAGCTACGATCCAAAGCATTCAAGTTGCTATGATCTTATGGAAATTGAATATCCGCAAAATGCAAATCAATCGGATAATGGAAAGAGAAAAAAGTCTGCATCAATATCAGGAACGTCATGTTTAAAAGAAGCAATGATGACAACACGTGTATCACAACCGGTGCCCATTGCAAGACGCTCCAACGATGGTCCCGACAGTGATGGTTACATGTCAATGAAACCAGTCGGTAGCAGTGATTCAAAGCACAGCATAAACAGTTTGACATTTCAACGTGGTGGCGCAAATCCATCATCAAGTATGTCATCGTCACCAACCAAACATGTCAATCGAACGGCTAGCATTTCATCGCCCGGTTCAATGCATCGAACCATTCCGGTACAGGCGCGAACACATCAAAATTCAATTGGCAACGATGATTATTTGAACATGAGTCCGGTAAATGTACGCGCAACGGTTGTATCTAAAATTTCTAGTCAATTATCACAACATCAACAACAACTCCAGCAACAGCATTTGCAACAACAACACCCACAACAACAACAACAACAAACGCAACAGCAGCAAATTGGTATGCATCACGTAGGCTCTGGCGGTGCACCCGATGGCTACATGGAAATGTCATGGAACAATCGAACGACAGCAAATAATTCAAATAATTTAAATAACAACAACAAAGTTGGTCATGTTATAATGGAACGAAATCGTCAGTCATCCTCGTCATCGATATCATCATCAAATGAATATATCGACATGAATTTTGGTGGCAATATACCACGTACATCGAGTGCAAGCAGTGATTGCAGCAGCACAAGTAGCATTGAAATTTCCACACATGCCATTGAATCGCGAAATAGTCGCATACGTTCACTTCCAATTACAATTAAGAAAACACAATCTCAGCCAACCAATGCCAAGACAATTTCCAAGCAAACAATTGGCACCCAACCACAAAATCATCCAATCATTCATAGTTTTGCCGCGTCCAAAATGATTCCGCCAACATTTTTAAGTTTAAATACAAATCTTAAGTCGACAAGCGCTCAAACATCGTCCGATTCGACGAGTGAATGTAGCATTACAACGCCAACCGGTGATTTGACATCGCATAATGCATCATCATCAACCATATTTCCATTCAGTCCGAATAGCCCAAATAACGGTGTGAATAAACAAATCTTTTCTAGTCAATCAATGCAGTTGCCTTGCGAAGAACAAAATCGAAAATGCTTTGTAGACGGAACGACAGGTAAATTATTTACTTGAATTTTGTTTGCAACAGACGTCAGAGTTTGTCTTTTTTTGCTTTCGAAATTAATAAAAATGTATTTTTTTCATATTCAACAGGCACTTTGCGATTATCGGAAAGTGAATCAGATCCAACGACACCGTCTGCATTCCCAGCCAACAGCGCTACAATCAAACCAATCATACCGCTCGATGTGCTGAGCAGTGATTATGCTGACATGACAATTGGTGGTAATTCAAGTAAATCTATACGAAATACGGGGCCAACGCTTAGTCCAAAAGAGAATATAAAAAAATTGAAATCGTCATTTTTCGGCTGCAGTAAAATTGACGAAACAAAAATGGAATGTACAAGTCCCACTTCAAGCTCAAGTAATCCAATCAATATTGCATCAACAATGACGATAACGACAGCGACACCAACGAATGTCACAACAAATTCCAAAAATTCAACATGTGATGAAGGTGATTACACAATCATGAATCCGGTAATGAGCAAACGTATCGTAGCACAACAAAAACAACCACAACAACAACAACAACAACAACAACCACCTCAATCTCAAGTGCAACCCGCACAAGCCACTTTTCCATTGAAGAAAACGGCACTTGTCACAACCAACAATGATCCGGACAAAGTGTTGGCCAATACCCAAGTCAAAAATAGTATCGATGGTTTCAAACCGATTACCTCACGCGCTGACAAAGAAGTGTTCCAACAGAGTAGTAGTAGTAATAGTAGTAGTAAGTCTGTTTCAACGGCAGGCACGTCATTCAGTCGTCAACATTCGGCACCAGTTGAAAAACAACGAAAACCCTCCGCTGATAATGGTGGATATGAATTACTTGAATTAAGACCAAGCAGTTCATCACATTCAATGGGTGGTGGTGGTGGCAGCAGTGGTGTTGGCCGAATTGTCCGACCAAATTCAGTAAATAGCGAAAAAACCACATTTACACCGTTGCATCGACCCAATTCGGCAAATAGCGAACGTCAATCAACATCCACATTTTCGCTTACATCAACACCGTTGAACGAATTGGGCACACAATCGGTATGTTATACTCATTTTCATTGTTTTCGATTCGGAAATTTGATTTAGTCATTAATTTGTGTATTTCACTGTGATTTCAGGTGCATTCATCATCATCAACATTATGTGGCAGTGGCACCAATATAACACGGCCATCATCCTCGTCGCTTTTATCGTCGGGTTCAGATTATAGTCAATCGTCTCGTCCGTCATCCGTTATTTCGGTGATCGAACAACAATTGCAACAACAACAATCTGCTCAAACAACACCGACAACAGTGTTCACATCACGGCCACCATCTGTTAGTTCTGAACGTGAATTACATTATGCTAGTCTTGATTTACCTGCATGTTCCTCAACCGCTGCAGCTCCATTAGCCAATAACAATACGGTAGGAAATCTTGCATCAATTCAAAATCCAATCACAGGCGCTGAAGCACCCACCTTCACATATGCACAAATTGATTTTGTCAAAAGTAACGAAAACTCATCAACAAATAATAATAACAACAATAATAATGCTTAGAGAAACAAACGTTTCCGATTCGGTAGGTGTTAAGCATTGTAGCTAACGGTACGCACCGCTGTAGAAATGAGAAAAAAAAATGAGCGGTAACCGCTTAAATGGGTTCAAAGACGAATGCCTAGTTTTTCTTGCAAATTGGGTCATTCCATTTACGTAGGGAAACGGAAAAGAAATATGTCAACGAAAATGTGGGGAAAAAGAGAGAAAAAAAAGAAGAATTTAGCGAAATTCTATTGCTTTGCTAGTGTCCAGAAATGAGGTTCTTTCATATTAATTGAATGAGCATAATCCAAAACGGAGACATGCAAGCCTTTGATTCGATTTGATTTTATTTTTTTTTAAGTGGAAAAAGAAATGAAAAAGCTTTAAAAAAACCAGTTTTGCGAATTGCAATAGACACACACACACACACATGCTATTATCCCAGTAATTAATTCCCGTGTATGTTATGTGTGTTTCAAACGCATGTCACGTAAATATCATTCGGTTATCTATTTTTATACGATTTTTACTTTGTTTTCATTTGTTTCCCTTTTTTTCACTTTATTTTTTTTAATTTCTTCAAGTTATTTTAATCTGAATTGGTTTTCCTTTTCAATGACACTAGATCGAATTTATTATGAATTTGCATTGTAGACAATTTTTTTTATTATTTTTTTTTTTTTTGAGCTACGTTCTAGAGAACGTTAAAAGAAAACATATTCAGTCTAATTCAAATCACATAAAATTATCAAAATGTGGAAATAGAAACTTTTGTTCCTTTTTCGATTAAATATATTATTGTTTTCGTTTTTTGTTTGTTTAATTGTTGCAAACAAATACACACAGACACACATACACACTCACCAATGGCCCTGAAAGTAAGTTTATAAGCTCATCGATGATTTTTTTTTTTTAAATATATTCTTTTTGTTGTTTTAAAAACAATAAAAATGGTTATTATTTCCATTAATTTGTATACGCCACATAGCATAGCTATATATTTGTCCCCGTGTGTTCGATACATGTTTCTCTTTCTCGGGTGCGCACGTGTATTTATTTGATCGACTTTTATGCCAAAATTTGATTTCATTTATGAAAATGAATGCACGATTCCATGGAAACTTTTTGCATTTGTCCGATGTTGACAATAGTCAAAAGTTCAGCGCTTGTTCAATGCATTCATTTTTTGAATGATCTCAAGCAATGCGATCAGTCAATGAAACAAACAAAAATCGCGTGCGCAAACACACATCTATTTAATTGTCATAATAAGAGCTAGCTAAATTGTTTGTATTGCTTCATGAGAAGATGAAAGTGAAATTAAAATTAAGTTGTAGCCGTAACAAGCTATAGAATTATTTATAAAATGAAAATCATAAAACGAATAGACGTTATAATTTTCTTTTTCTTTAAAATTATGTTTGTTTTGGACGCGAGTTGAATGTTAGAGTGAGAGAGAAACATAGTTGTGTTTACATTTTTGAAGTACAACAACTATTACAATGTAATTGAAATGAATAAATTATAAGTAATTTAAAGAAAGTACTCTTTTATGATTTTGTTTTTTTTTTATTTCTCACTTTTTTGTTTGCATGTTTCTTTTGATTTTCAGTTTTATGATTATTATTTTTTTCGTTAAAAAATGGTTTGTACCTTCTTTTTTGAATTTTTATTTTCTTAATTGAATATGATTAGAAAAGATTTTTTGAAAGAGCGATTTTAAAGTTTCTGGGAAAAGTACACTGACAAAACTAAGGTTATGATTTTGACAACACCGTGTTGTAAATGCTTACATTCCAAC